GTTAACTCTGACTCATAGTGACCCTAGAAGACAGAGTTGATCTGCCCCAAGGGGTTTCCTAGGCTGTGTAAGACTTGGTAGTCTGCATCCATAAAGACTGACAGCCATGGAAGCCCTGTGGAGCAGTTCTACTCTGTTCTATGGGGTCACTATGAGTCAGAACCAACTTGATGGCAATGGGTTTTTGGTCATCTTTGCTGGGGCAGATCACCAGGTATTTCTCCTGAAATATCTGGTGGGTTCCAACAGCTGACTCTTCGTTTACAGCTAAGCGCTTAAAGATTGTGTCACCAGGGCTCCTTATCCACATGTCTAGCGGTTAGAACTTACAACACATAATTTTGGGGACACAGTTCAATCCATAATGCAGGGAAGCTGGACTCTGCTGACAACCGGTCAGCCTCCCAGGACAGGCTCGAGAAGCAGGGGGTTGTAGGGCAGGGACCCTGAGGAGAGGGGCATCCCCTCGGCTACATTTGGATAAAGGCGTGGAGAGGAGAAGGTGAGGTGACGGGGGGCACTAAGCATGGTAGCCCCTTCTCAATCTCATAGACCCCAGGCAGAGCTATAGTCATCTAGGGGCCCCTACTGGCCATCCCTCTTCTCTCGGAATCCCCAAAGCAGGGACCCTCATCCCAGCCTCTCCCAATCTCATGGGATTGTCACCACACTCAGACAACCTAGAGTGCAGGGTCAGAGCCCAATCACAAATGGGAAGAGTGAGTCCCACAGAGGGGGACGCAGCTTCCCGAGATGGCCCAGAGCCAGGGCAGGGCCAGGACTGAGGTGGGGCCACAAGGGACAGACCTTAGGTCCTCTGTCCCAACCTTGTACACTTTCTGCAGCCCAGACCACCTCATCAGGGCTCCTTCAGTCTTATGCAACACGATATGATCAAAGCTAAAATTTCATCTTCTGCCCAAACCTGCTCCATTTCCAGGACTCTCTGGTCTAGCAAGGGGCATCCCCATTCAAACAGACACTCAAACTCCAAAACTTGACCACTCCTCAAAGCCTCCCTTTCCCTTTTCCCAGCACCACCTATCTGTCACCACCCCTGTATCCTGATTCCTGAATAACTGGCATCTCTCTAAACAGTTCTGGTGGTGCAGTGGTTAAGGCATTCAGTTGCTAACCAAAGGTTGATGATTTGAAGCCACCAGCTGCTCCATGGGAGAAAGATGAGAGAGCTTGTTTCCGTAAAGATTTACAGCACTGGAAACCCTAAGGGATGGTTCTACTCTGCCCTGTAGGGTTGTCATGAGTCGGAATTGACTTGATGGCAGTGGGTGAGGTTTGGCTTACACCCCTGTGTCTCCCCACAGCTTCTGCCCTCATCCAAGCTGTCAGAACTCCTCCCTAGCTGTGTCCACCAGAGCTGCCATCAGCAACTCCAACTCACGGTGCTCCCCATGCGTCAGAGTAGAACTGGGCTTCACTGGGTTCCAATGGCTGATTTGGGAGAAGCAGATCACCGGGCCTGTCTTCCAAAGCATCTCTGGGTGGGTTTGAATCTTTAACCTGTCAATTAGCAGCCAACTGCGCTAACCATTTATACCCCTAGGGACACGGAGACATAAACCAAACCCACCACCGCTGACTCAATGCCAACTCACAGCATCCCTAGAGCATAGAATAATAACAACTCATGTTCACTAGGCTGTCACTCAATTTTCCTTGATTCATACTTCGTGTGCTCCACATTAAGGAGCTCTGGTGGCACAGTGCCTAAGGCATTTGGCTGTTAACCAGAAGGCTGGCAGTTCAAACCCACCAGCTACTCCGCAGATGGAAGACTGGACAATCTACTTCAGTAAAGATTTACACCTTGGAAATCCAAAGTGGGTTGCTATGAGTCGGAATCGATTTGAAGACAGTGAGTTTGTTTTTTTCTTTTTGCATGTGCCACGCTCCAATTTCTAACTGATGTTTGTTGCTGTTACCTCTCACTTGGAGTTGTGCCACATCAGGAAATGAAGGTTGGTCCCGAAGACTTTACTCCAGTTGTGTTACGAAGGTCGACTCTTCTTTGAGGAGGTAGCTCTTCCTCGGTCATATTCTGAGCACCTTCTGACCTTGGGAGCTCATCTTCCTGCGCTGCGTTGGACAGTGTTCCGTTGTGATCCATAAGGTTTTATTGGTTAATTTTTGGAAGTAGATCATCAGGCCTTTGTGTGTGTGTGTGTGATTTGGGTGAAAGTTTATAGAACAAATTCACTTTCCATACAGCAGCTCACATACACTTTGCCTCATGACATTGACTACAATTTACCCCGATGCAACAGCTCCCCTCCCACTTCCTCCCTATAGTTACCTCTTCCCTGTGTCCATCCCTCCATGCACTCCTGCCACCTGAGCTGTCTCCCTGTGCATAAGCAGCCCTTATTTCTCTCATGATTGCTCTCTCCAAGGAGTGTATCTACCTCAGGTAAATGTTCACCTCATATGCCTGTCTCTTGTTTGGCTGGAAGCTACAGGTGTGGGTTCAATTCAAGACCTGAAGGACAGCTAGGGACCATAGTCTCAGTGATTCCATCAGGCTCTATCAGACCAGTAAACCCGGTCCCTTTTTTTCAAATGATTTTGAGTTTTGTTCCACATCGTTCTCCCTCTCTATCCAGGATCTCCTACATAGATCCCCATCTGAGTGGTTGACAGTGGTAGCCAGGCACCATCTAGTTCTTCTGGTCTCATAGTCGTATAGGCTGAGGATCGCATGGTGTACCAGTCACTTGGACTAATTATTTCCATGAATCTTTGGTTTTCTTCATTCTTCTTTGCCCTGGAAAAGCAGAGACCCATCATTGCATCTAGATGGCTGCTTGCAAGCTTTTAAGTCACCCCAGGCCTCTCTTCCTAGTTTGCCTTAGTCTAGAAGCTCTGCTAAAGTCTGTCAGTCATGAGTGACCCTGCTGGTATATGAAGTACCACCATCACAGCAACACGCAGGCCAATACAATACAACAAACTGACGGATGGGTGGAAACCTCTAAAGAGATGGACTGACACAGTAACACACCCGTGGACTCAGACATGCCAGTGAGCATGAGGATGATTCAGGACTGGGCGATATGTCATCATTATACATGAAGTCACCATGAGTCAGTGCCTACTCACTGTCAGCTAACACAACAACATGCTGTTACTATAAGCTTTATGCATTTTTCCTTCCTTGATCTTCTGAGGTAGTTGCTATTACTCACATTTGACAGAGAAAGGAATTGAGGCATATTGTTGTTGTTGTTGTTGTTACATGCAGTCAATTCAGCTCCAACTCATAGCGACCCCATGTACAACGGAACAACACGATGACTGGTCCTGCACACCTCACGATCCTTGCTATACCTGAGCCCATCTATCTCATTGAGGGTCTTCCCCTTTTTCACTGACCACCTCCTTCAGCAGCATGAGACCCTTCTCCAGCGACTTCCAACAACATGATCAAAACGTGTGTGATGAAGTCTGGCCATTTTCACTTCCACGGAGCATTCTGGCTGAGGCATTGGAAGATTAAGCAACCAGCCCGAAGTCACACCCTTGCTCATGGTAGAGGCAGTTAGTCTAAACTCCAGAGGCCACCAGGATCTAGATGGGACTGGGGACTTGACCTCTTGAAGTTTTAACAACAGGACTTAAGCGACTGATGGGAGTTCATGGTGTCGTCCTGGAGTTCTTCACTCAGCTTTGCCGCTGACCCCCACTGATGCCTTGCACCGGTCCCTTCCCTTTTTCTTTCTCTTTTTTTTTTTTTGGCCTCTTTTTCCAATGAAAGGGTTAGAAATAACGATCCTTGATTCTGACAGTAGCCTGGGAGGAGGCGTTTGTGAATGAGACTTGGGAGGGGCCCTGCTGGTGACATCACAGAGGAGAGAGTTCCACGAGCATAGCTAGGCCTTCCGAGGAGCCTCAGCACTAGTTTGCATTGAACTCAGCTTGGGTGAGAAGGGAGATACAGGAAGGGGCCCAGGTCCTGAGCTCTCCTCATCCCTGGGTTCCCAGCATAGTCATGGAACAGCGTTCGGTGTCTGATCAGGCTCAGAATGAGGCAGACACCATTAACTTGGTTGTAGCCCCTGCCACCTGTTCATTACCCCTCCACCCCAGGCCAGGCCCTGGGGGGGCCCACCACCATCGCGAGTCCCAGCCCCATGATGAACACCACCACCGTGGGGAGGTCCGTGACTTCCACGATGATACACTCTCCCTTCAGTCCCACCATCGTGGTGAGGCCCACCATCATGGCAGAGCTCCTCACCGTGGTGGGGCCCATCAGGCTCACGTCAGAGGCCAGTCCCCTCACCTGAGTCCTTCCCGTGGCATTTTGCCCTTCCCCCCTTCCTCCGACGAAGACCAGTTCCTTCACCCTGATAGTGACTACGATGGCAGCAGGATTTGTTACTCTAGTGAATCCCACTCCTACGGTGGGTCCCACCACCACAGTGGGTCTCACCATCGCAGCGAGCCCCGCCGCTACAGTGGGTCCCGCCACCACGGTGAGTCTCACTACTATGGTGAGAACTTATCCCATTCCCCCCGTGGTAGATTCTACCTCCGTAGTAGGCTCCGTCTCCACCGTGAGGCCAGTCCTCAAGGTGAGGCCCGCTACGGCGAAACAAGCCACCAAGATGAACCTTTGTATTATGAAGACTCTGATGTCTCTACTGGTGTCCACCATGGTAAGTTCCAACACCGTGAAGGCTACCACCGTGGGGGACTTCATTTCCGTGACATCTACCGCCGTGGACAGCCACTCCACCAAAGTGACGAAGGGTCCTACCACAGTGGCTCTCGTCATCCCCAAGCTGAGCACCACATGGGGGAACACCACCATGGCGAGCGCCCCCACCGTGGTGAGCAACCCCAGCGCAGTGAGCATTTCTCCCACGATGGGTCCCACCACTCTGAGCAGCACCGTGGACAGTACCACCGTGGCGAGCAGCTCCAGGTTCTCCACCATGACATCGATCCCACCAATGAATTCCCCTCTGGGGAGCGTCCCCATGGTGGTGTCCTCCAGTTCTCTGCCCCGTACCCACCCTCCAGAGTGACCATTCCCTCCATCAACTCTGCAACAGCCCTGCACCGTGGTACATCACATACGGAGAGCTCAGGCCAAGCCATACCCCCACCTCACAGTGCAATCCCCTCCGTCAAAGACCATCCCCAGGCAACCTTCTCAGAAACGGAAAGCTGGTTCCAAGATGAGCACTTAAGGAAGCATAAAAGTGAGTCTTTGCCCAGCCCCCCCAATACCCTAAATCCAGGCCCCTCTTCACCACCGCATCTTTTATTCCTCGAGTTGCATGCCCCTCCAGGCTGTGAGTTATTTGCTTACTCAGCCACTGTTTTATTCCTTCCTCAGACAATTGTTGGTGTCGAATTTAGAATGTAGGTGTCTGGTGGGCCTGGACCTTGGCAGCCCAAAGTAGGATCTGATACAAGCCCTGCCCTCTAGGCGATCTAAGCTTGGGAGTGGTCACTTAAACTGCCAATCACAGGCCATCTAGTGATGGGGGCCTGTCCTCCTGCTCTTCAGAGAGTTTGCGGTGGTTCCTTTTATCTGTCTCTTTTCCCCCACTGAACTGTGAGCTTCTTGAGGACAAAGAGTGGGAACCAGTGACTGAATGAGGGCTTTGTACGTGAGGGCAGCGGGGGACCCTAACATTGAACTCCCAATCCCCCACGCTTGAGTCGCAGTAGGAGTTTAAGAAATGTGGCAACAGTCTCGTGACGGAGCAGCTGTGAGAACAGAGAGGGAGTGGGTGTCTAACGAATGGGGGCAGGGGAGGTAGGCAAGAGGTGGGGAGGTTTCAACAAGATCTTAAAGGGAGGACAGCCTCTCAAGAGAACGGCTGTGAGGAGGATTGGACTTTCCACACAGAGATGACAGTTCAAGCAAAATGGGGGATGGAGTGTGGGAGTATGATCCCTCAAGAACGGCTCAAGCAGACTGGCATCTGCCATGGGGGGATCAGGCCTCAGCAGGACCACAGAATTAGTACAGGGGCCCCTCAGTGAGTAGGAAAGGCAGGCAGGCAGGCAGACAAGCATGCGCCCTGATCCAGTACCCCAGAATCCTTGGGCAGGCAGGCAGGCAGGCAGACAAGCATGCGCCCTGATCCAGTACCCCAGAATCCTTGGGACCCTTGCCCCACCACCGGCAACAAACCTGAGTCACATCCCACAGCCGCCCGGATCCAACGCACTCACAAAAGACTGCACGAGGACCTGTGCCATTGGCTGTGGGAGAAGTTAAGCCACTTCATCCACTGGCTCCAGAAAAGGCTCAAGTACCTGACCGAGACCTTGGTCTTTGAGGCCTTCATCTTCCTCGTCATCAGCCTCAACACCCTCATGCTGGTGGTCCAGACGTTTGCCGAAGTGGAGACCCGGTGCGGTAAGAATCAGGGAGCAGGGAGCCCCTGGTCACATGGAGGAGGCCGTGCACGCTGTTAGAATGCCGTCTGTGGGCCTGACCAGCGCTGGGATATTTACATACTTTGCCTCACTTGTTCCTCACCCCTGGGAAGTAGTTGGCATGGTCCCCGTGAGACAGGAGGTTCCGCGTGGCATCTCAGAGGTCCAAAGGCCAGCCGCAGAGACCCGCTACGAGAGAATGCGCTGTTCAGGGCTATGGCCACTAGATGGCGCATCAGCTCTGAATATGCTGCTTTGGGCGGGAAAAGTACTCAGATTCGGTCTCTCCAGAAAAGCCAGGAGACCCTTAGTAGACCCTGCAGGAGGGAGACTGGATAGCCTAAGGTCTGGCCCCTAAAACCGTATGGAGCAGGGGGAAGGTAAGGACCTGCCACAGGGACATAAACTGAGGAGAGGATAATAATGGGTGACGTTTCTTGCACGCTGTCTCAGGCACTATTCAAAGGGCTATGTTAATTGCATCTAATGCTTACAACTCAGTGAGGCCCGACTGTTAATATACCATCTTACAGGCAAGGAAACAGGCATACAGTCATGTCAGTCAGAGCCTAGGTGTTGGACTGGATCAGGTCCCAGTGGGGAGGGGGAGGGCGACGGGCTAGGGGTGCTGGCGACGGCCCTGAGGGACCCCTGGTATCCCTTCAGAGTGGTACTTCATGGCTATGGACTCAGTCTTCCTCTGCATTTACATGGTGGAAGCCGCACTCAGGATCATGGCCCTGGGCTTCCAGTATTTTTTTGACTCTTGGAACAATCTAGGTGGGTGAGAGTGGGGCCAGTGTGTGTCTGTGTGTGCAGTGGGAGCCGCTCAACTGCCTGAGGGGGGCCGAGGACCCAGAGGGGCAGGAATAGGGGTGTCGGCATTGGGAGGGCTGGGGGTCCGGCTGAGGGCCAATCAGACAGCCGTGTGCCCTCAGACTTCTTCATCATGGTCATGGCTGTGCTTGACTTCCTGCTGGGGCAGTTCAACTCCTCTTCCCACTTCGTCTACAACCAAAGCATCTTCCGGATCCTAAAGGTCCTGAAGAGTCTGCGGGCCCTTAGGGCCATCCAAGTCCTGAGGAGGTTCAGGTCTGCGTGGCCACGGCTGCCCGTCCTGGTGGGAGGACTCCGAAGGAGGAGGTGACAGAGGCCTGGCTCCCAGGGAACCCAGTTTGGCCTGGTCAAGGGACAGGGCAGGGGAGAAGACAGGCCCCAGCCCTCTGCTGGGAGCAGCCCCTTCATTTTCCAAGGAGGGACCAGCACTTACCAAGTCAATAAACCAGGGACCTCCTGCCTTCAGGGCCTTCAGGGCCAGCTCTGACTGCAGGCACAGGCTAGCCGCCTGGCTGAGTCAGCCTCCCTCTCTACCTCTGCCTACAGTATCCTGAGCAGCCTCCAGGAAGTGACGGGGACCCTGGCCCGGTCCCTGCCGTCCATCGCGGCCATCCTTATTCTCATGTTTACCTGTCTCTGTATCCTGTGTCCTGGGGGCTGGTGCTGGAAGGATGGACCACCAGGGGGGTGCTGTGGCAGGTGGTGGGGAGAGGATCGCGTGAGCCTGGTTTGGCCCTGAACAGCCAGTCCTCTTCTCTGTGGTGTTCCGGGCCCTGTTCCGCCACTCGGACCCCATCCGCTTCCGGAATATGTTCACCACCACCTTCACACTCTTCACCATGCTCACCTTGGACGACTGGTCCCTCATTTACCTAGACAGCAGAGCTGAGGGTGGGGCAGGCCCCAGGCTGGGTGGGAGGGCAGGGCCTGACCATTCAAGGGTGGGTGGGCACAACTTGAGGGCTGTTCCATCATCCGTCAGTGGGTTTTTTGATACCTGCTGGCGAGGCAGGCTGGGAGCTCACGGGGTGAAACCACCTCTCTCTCCCAGGGGCCTGGTACATCATTCCCATACTTATGATTTACATCATCATCCAATACTTCATCTTCCTCAAGTGAGAGCCTTCCCCACTCTGTGCGCAGCTTGACTTCTCCTCTCCCACCCCAGGCAAACCCCAGCGCTCCCATGGGGAGGAGGGTGGGGCAAGGCCTCTCCTAGGCCCCCTCTTTGACAGCTCCCCCTGTGCCCAGCTTGGTGATCGCTGTCCTGGTGGATAACTTCCAGATGGCCCTGCTCAAAGATCTGGAGAAAGTGAAGCTGGAGGTTCGGGGTTGGGGGACATGGAGGAGTGCGGGGAGACGCGGGGACAGGAGCACCGGGGCTGGGCCCTGCTGGTCAGCCCGTTGTGCCCAAGGAAAGGAGTGACCAGGCTCCGGGATGGGCGGGCATGGGAACTGGGCACGACAAAGCCTCTTCTTCCTAGAGAGCCGCCCAGACCCAGGAGAAGCTGCTGGAGGACTCGCTGACACATATCAGCCAATCAGGTGTGGCACCCTGCCCCGCCATCCTGGCCCTACCTCACTAGGACCTCCATCTCCCCCCCCCACTCCTTCCACAGCTGGATGCAGGATTCCAGCCTCAGTGTTGTTGTTGTTATGTGCCGTCGAGTCGCCCCGACTCATAGTGACCCCTCCTTGGGTTTCCGAGGCAGTATCACTACGGAAGTAGGATTGCCCAACCTTCCTTCCGAGGAGTGGCTGGTGGGTTTGAACCGCCAGCCTTCTGGTTAGCAGTCAAGTGCTTTAGCCACTATGCTACCAGAGCTCCTCAGTGTTAGCACTTTAGAATCTGAGACTCAGAGAGCTTTTAGTGGTTAGGATGATGGTCCAAAGGGCTCTCGGGTGATTCTCAGAAAGCCAAGGAAACTGATGATGGATTCTTGAGCAACCTTTTTGCAAAACATCTGATTAGCTAAACTCTGGTCACTGAACACTTATTTCTGTCAGTAGTTTATAGCGATTGGCCTTACCTGGGAAGGTTTCAACCACCGTGGATGGTTTTGTCCATGTGTTAAACACTCTTGTCCAGATTTATTTGACACGGGTTGAAGTCTACGGAAATGATGTTTCCTGTACGTGTATTGGTTCCTCAGAACTTTAGAATCTGAGCTCCAGAATCACACCTTTGTGGTCAGCAATGGTCCTCTGGGGTCACCTGGTCCCTCACTGATACTCTCCATCATGGACACTCAGTCCATGGCTTAAGCAAAAATCGGTTATCTATTGACTCACATTACTTGGTGAGTGCAGGGTGCGCTTGGGCCTTCAGGAATGGCTGGATCCAGGACTCAAATGAAGCTAAAGGGGCTTAGTCTCCCTCCATGTTTCTCCTCTGTAACTCTGGTTTTGTTCCCTGGGCACCTTTTCCCTTGTGGTGGCCACCTGCAACTCCAGTCCCATATCCTCAGTTTATCCATACCTAGGAGTCCCCAGAAGGCTGATGGTTCAAACCCAACAGCCACTCCACATAAGGAAAATGGGGAAATCTATTTCCTTAAAGATTTACTGCCCTGGAAACCCGATAAGGATCTCTATGAGTCAGAATCAACTAGATGGCAGTGAATTTTTTCTGAGGTCCTCTGGTGGTGCAATGCCTAAGGCATTTGATTGCTAACTAGAAGGCTGATGGTTCAAACTCAACAGCTGCCCCACAAGGAAAATGGGGCAATCTACTTCCATAAAGATTTACAGCCTTGGAAACCCAATGCCAGTCGCTTTGAGTTGGAATTGACTTGATGGCAGTTAGTTTGGTTTTTGGTTTGGTTTTAGAAGTCCCCGAGTGGTATGAACAGTGAAGCGCTCAACTGCTAACCAAAAGGTGGGAAGTTCAAATCCCCTAGAAGGACCTTGAAAGAAAGGCCTAGGGATCTGCTTGCAAAGATCACAGCCATTACAAGCCCCACGGAGCGCAGCTCTACCCTGACACACAGGGGTTGCCATGAGTTGGAATGAACTCAATGGCATCTGGTGTTAGCACCACAAGTTCCAGAAAGGAGTCTCCTTGACTCTGAACTACGCGTCCGTTTCTGAGCCAAACACTGTAGCCAGGATAGGTTGTTCTGATTGGGCAGGCCTAAGTCACATGTCCTTGAATCTAGGGGTGGGGTCTACCTCAGCTAAACACGGAGGGGTAATTCCTCAGGGAAACTGGGATATTTTACCAGAAGAAGGAATGGGTACTGGACAGGAAAGAAGCAAACAAAACTGCTCTGCACTGTATTTCCAGAGAGCAGTTTATCTGGGGGCATCCTGGACACCAACTCTTTAAGCCCCTCTCTGAATATCTCCATGACTACAGTCTCCATGACAACAGGGGGTTTCTTCTTGGCCCTTCACCCCCTCTCTGAATCCAGGCATCATCTTGACTCCTGTCCTTCTTTCCCTTTATCCAGAGCCTGAAAAGAAGACTAGTGACGAGATTGTGAAGAATCAATTCATCCAGAAGAAATTTGGGACCATGACCAAGAAGTGAGGAGATGCTAAGGGGGTGCTCGAGTCTGTGGGGAGAGGTCTGGGGGCCTGATCCAGGCTGAGAAGGGGAAGGACATTCTCTGCCAGTCTGGAAAGGGGATGGGATGAGGAGACCATGGTAGCTCTGCACATCCAGGACCTATCATCATAGTGACTCCCACCTGCAGTGACTACAAGGGCCAAGGCCAAGGGCCGCTGCTAGGAAGAGGTCCTGGAGGAAGAGTGAATCTACTCATCTCTTTTCTCAAGAAGCACTCTTGACCCTTGCTTTGGGCCAGGCCCTGAGAGGACTCCAAGGACCCAGAGAAACTCAGTCCCTGCCCAGAAAGGCCCCACCTTTAACCACGTGTGCTGGGCCAAGGAGAGTGGGTAGACACCAGCCAGTTGAAGAATGAGGAAGGTTGTGGGTGGAGGCCTAGAGGCCAGATGGTCACACCCTGATTCCTGAGACATGTGGCCAGTTGGGCCAGGAGATCTGGGGACTTGCAGCCATGCTCATGACTGGGGAACCTTCTGCTCGCTGGCTCTCAGGGCAGGCTCTGCAGAGACCCTTCTTCCTGAAGGCTGGCTCCCACCTCATCTTGTGTGGACTGGCTCTGGACAGCAGACAAGGCCGAACTACTTACATCCCATCACCCACAGGGCTGAGGCTAAGCCCCTGGCCAGACATACATGTCTATGCCAACCACCCTAGTATCATTGCAACCACTACCACCCCTGCCTATCCCTTGTTTTATCCATACTATGTCCTAAGCATAAGGAGCTCTGGTGGCACAGTGGGTAAGGCATTTAGCTGCTAACCAGAAAGTTGGCAGTTCAAACCCACCAGCTGCTTCCATAAAGATTTACAGCCTTGGAAACCCAGTGGGGGTCACTGTGAGTTGGAATTGACTCGGTGACAGTGGGTTCTTGGCTTGGTGTCCCAAGTATAGCACACAATTCTTTACTTCCACACTCCCACTGTTCTCTCTGCCAGCAGTGTTCTCTGGCTGGTGATGCTAGGCTCACGTGATCTAGACTTTGGTGAGCTGAGTTCCAATCTTGGCTCAGCTAGCTATGGCTGGCTGAGGACTTGGTTGCCTCACCTCTGGGTTCCCTCTTCTGGCCGTCTTCCATCCTCCTTGGCCATGGCCCTAGTCTGGGACTTCGACATCTCTGCCGTACTTTCCTTGGTGACTTCTTGGCCTCCGGTATCTTCCTCACTGGTCCATCACTGCTGGGAATGTCGTTGTTAGGTGCTGTCGAGTCAGTTCCAACCCACAGCGGCCCCGTGTACAACAGAAGAAAACACTGCCCGGTCTTGTACGGTCTTTGTAATTGTTGCTGTTTGAGCTCATTCTTGTGGGCATTGTGTCAGCCCGTCTTGTGGTGGGTCTTCCTTTTGTTTGCTGACCCTCTTCTTTACCAGGTGTGATGTCCTTCTCCATACTTTGGAAAGCATGTCCCAAGAATGGGAGACTAAGTCTCTGCATCCTTGCTTCTGAAGAACACTCTGGCTGTTCTTCCAAGACAGAGTGGTTCATTCTCCCGGCTGTCCATGGTATACGCAGCATTCCCCGCCAACACCGTAATTTAAAGGCATTCATTCTTCTTTGGTCTTCCTTATACATTATCCAGCTTTTGCATGCATATGAGGCGATTGAAAAGACCATGGCTTGGGTCAGGTGCACCTTGGTCCTCAAAGTACTTTTATTTTTCTTTCTTTCTTTCTTTTTTTAAACACTTTAAAGTAGTCTTTTGCAACGGATTTCACCAATGCAGTGTGTCATTTGATGTCTTGACTGCTGCTTCTATGGGCATTAACTGTGGATCCAAGTAAAATGAAATCTGTGACAACTTCTATCTTTTCTCCGTTTATCGTAATGTTGCTCATTGGTCCAATTGTGAGGACTTTTGTTTTCTTTATGTTGAGGTGTAATCCATACTGAAGGCTGTCCTCTTTGACCTCTGTCAGTAAGGGCTTCAAGTCCTCGTAGCTTTGAGCAAGCCAGATGGATGAATGAATGAATAGGTAGATGGTTGAGTGGATGGACGGGTGTTTAGGTGGATGACAACACAGCATGGCCCCCTCACTTCTGAGAAGCTGGCTCTCACTGCTCCCTTGGCTTCAGTAATTGACTAGAATGACTCCAAACTTAAGAAAGTGCTCTACTAATGACTTCAGCTTTATTTATAGTAAAAAGGATACAAAGGAAGAGATGTATAGGATGGAGTTTGGAAGGGTTCCCAACATGGAGCTTCCACATCCCAAAGTTGACACTACCCTCCCACACACATCGATGTCTTTCACCAAACAGGAAGCCCTTGGAGCCTCCGTGTCCACATAGTTCATTGAAGGCCTCATCCCACAAGCATGATTGATTGAATTGTGCTCCCCTCCTTGTTGTTGTTGATTCCTCAGCTCAGGGAGACCCCACGTGTGCCCAAAGGGTTCCCTTTCTGAAACAGATCACCAGGCCTGTCTTCTGAGGAGTCTCTGGGTGGGTTCAAACCACCAACCCTTCAGCCAGTAGTGGAACATTTAACCATTTGTGCTACCCGGGGACTCCTGAGATCCACTGAAGTTCCTGCTCGATGGGCTTCCTGGCCTGACCAGCTCCCACCTGAAAGACCTCATCAGCACAAACCCTCAGGTGTGATCTGGGGGTGTCATTCAAGACATTTCCATTACTGGAGACATCCTGAGGTTTTGAATGGTGTGTCCCAGGAATCAAGAACACAGATGACATTCTTTGGGTCCACGGACATTCTGTTCCTCATACCCTGCTGGGTGGCTCAACTCAGCCCTGGCCTGTGTCCCTCCCGCCCCCAGGCAGAGGGACCTGTTGTGCCACTACCTGCAGCTGGTGGCTGGCGTGGAGCACCATCAACAGAAGTTCAGATCCCAGGCATGTGTCATCGACGAGATTGTGGACACCACCTTTGAGGTGAACGAGGCAGGACCAGAGGGGAGGGGGCAGAGGCGGGGGGAGGACCCTGAGGGTCAGGCAGGGGATTCGCGTGATCTGGAAGGCAGAAGGGGAGCTCTTCATTCACCCCTCCTGACCCCAATCCCGCAGGCTGGAGAAGAGGACTTCAGGAAGTGACCTGCACGGAGGGTCTTGCCTCCCGCAAGCTGCCTGTTCTCCCTCCTCTCTTGACCTGGGCACCATCCCCAGTATCCTGTGCCCACAGCTGGGGGTGGCGATGGGTCAGGACAAGTCCCAGAATTTGCTGGACTCTGGAATGATCCTCCGGGCCCTGTAGGGCAAGGGCCCCAACAAAGTTTTAAAAACCCAGATGGCCCCCTGTCCTCACTGGCTGGGCCAAAGCCCAAGACAGAGGAACGTGCGTGTGTGCACGTGTGTGCGCAGGGGTATGTGTGCATGTATGTGTGTGTGTGTGTTGCGTGTGGAAGAAGCTCTTCTTGGATCCCCTCCAGCCCCACCAGATGTCTGCAGAAATTGGCCAGGTCCAGGGGCTGGTTGTGCTGGTGGGGACACAGCAGCCGGCCCAGGACTCAGGAGAAAAAGAAGGGGCTCGGAAGGAAGGTTGGGCAATCCTACTTCCGTAGTGATACTGCCTCGGAAACCCAAGGAGGGGTCGCTATGAGTCGGGGCCGACTCGACGGCACATAACAACAACAACAACATATTAGCCCAGGGTTTGGGGGGGGGTACAGTGAGCCCCAGGAACAGGGACTGAGGGCCCAGCGACCTGGACTCGCCAGGCCTTAGCATCCAGGATAAGGTGCCAACCCAATGGGATATCACAAGGTCGGAGTGAGAGGTCATTGCCACTGCCACACCCTGCCTGGGTTAGATGGGAGAGCTTCAACCAACAGGATGAGGCTGGAGGATGGGCAGGTCCTCTGGCTCCTGTGGGGGAGGGGCAGGAGTGTGGCATCCAGAATGGCTGAGTCCTTCTCAAGAGAGAAAGCTGCTCCCTGTCCTGCCTGGTCTAGCCTGTAAGTGGGTCCCTTATCTCGGCCTGACCTGGGTAGGGTGCCCAGAGCCCTGTCCCCAACAGCCAGGGTGGCAACGGGGGGTGCCCTGAGCCCTTTTCCCAGAGCCGGGGTGGCAGAGGGATGCCCAGAGCCCTGCCCACATGGCTGAAGTCGTGGCACGACACTGCCCATCTTCCTTCATGTGACAACTACTGACCACAGTCCCCGAATGCCTGGGCCACTGTGGGGCACTGGATACCTAGCACAGAGTCCTGCTGAAGTCCAGCTCTGGCCCTGGGGGCTCCCCATCCAGGGGCGCGATCTTCCACTGCCTCAGACACTCATCTCCCGTCCAGTTGAGGGGAGCCCAGGGTGCAGTGCAGGCTGGAGGCAGGGATGGGACTCAGGGTGGGGGCACAGACAGCTTTGTCAGCCCCCTCGTGCTCACCCCAAGCCCCTCCTTGGCCCAGGTGGCAGTGATGTGTCCACCTCAGCAGGAGCAGAGCACATCCTTCCCCAGCCTGGTGAGGGCGCTAGTTGGCCCAGAACCCCAGAAGCCACTATGCCAAGGAAACGTCATTAGGCTCTGGGCACAGATTTGGGGGACAGGGAGGCCACCTGGCAGACACTCTGGTCTCACCTTGCCTCCCCACCTCACGCATTCAACAAGCATTTTCTGGTGACCCGTGGTGGTCCTCCCAAGCTTGACGAGCTTAACCAGGAGTGGGGTTAGAGACAGTCCCCCTGCACCCCCAAAATCCTATCAAGTTCAGCCTCAGCTCCTCAGACTGCACATGAGAGCTGGGGACTCTGCTCCACCCCCCGTACCCTATCCCTACCCCAGTGTGGCCTCTGAGGGCAGAGGGCTGGGACCTGGGGGCTTGCACCCCGGAGTTGAGGTTGTTCTTCATTAGGTCCCGGCTTATGCAGGGGACTGGGCAGGCCCAAGGGAGGGAGGGCAGTGGCGGCCATCGGGGCACCCTCCCTGGACGCTGCAGTTCTGCCTGTCTGGGCCTGTTGTGCCAACACCCAGCGCTCCCCAGGGATCCAGTTAGTGCCCGCCCTGCCCCATGTGTGGGTGTGCAAGTGGGGCTGAGGGACACCTAGGTGTTGGCACCTGAGTCTCTGGGTGTGTATTTGGGGGTATGTGTACATGTCCGGGGCGATGTGGACTTTTGTGTCTGGGTCTGCGCTTCTGGGTCGCTAGGTTGTGGTGTTGGTGTTTTTCTGGATGGGTGTGTGTTTTGGAGCACCTGAGGGTATCTGAATTTGTGTTGGGGGGTTGCGTGTCTGGTGTGGTAAGCAGTTCTGTGTGCGTGTAATAAGTAAGAATTGCAACCACAAACACGACTTGCAAATACTGCCACAAATCTATTTGCTTTAAACGACATTAAGTTGACCGTCCCCCTATCCCTCCTCTGACTGAACCTGGGTCCCTCCGAGAGCCCCTTTTTGGGCCGCATGCTGGTTAAAGGAATCTTCATAGGCTGGGAGCTCAGTGTCCTGAGTCCCACTCAGCTGAGCTCATCAGGTGCCAACCAGTTTCCTCTTGGGTGTTAAGAGAGCACAGGGCATGCCCCTGTCCAAGCAAACACAACCCTGGACTCCCAGCCCTGGCAGTCTCTGGAGGTGTTTGAGGGCCTGAACAGCATTTCAGCCCTGCCTGGGCTGGGCCAGCGGCAGCTCAGTTGGGGTGCTGTGGCGCTGCCAGTGCCGGGTTTGGGGAGCTGGCAGGAGTGAGGATGGGCGTGGGTGTGAAGCATTCAGGAGAGACCAGTGCTGGAAGCAGTGTTAGCACTTTATTGGGACGCATCCTCCACCGTGCGCCACCCAGTCCCTCCCCAGCAGTGCTGTGGCCCACAGGCAGCCACAGGCCTAGTCCTGGGGCACACAGTTGTTCTTCAAAAGCTGGGAGGTGTTCCTCCAGGGAACCACCAGGACCTCAAAGTCACAGTGCAGCTTCTGCAGAGAGAGCACGCAGGAGGGGGTGAGTGTGGCCCCACAGGCTGCCACCTCCCAACAGCCTGTGATGCGGGGCAGTCACCGCCCAAGAGGCGCAGGTCAGAGGGCTAGGGCCAGACCTACTTCTTGTCTACCTCCCAGTGCGCTCTGGTGAGGCTGCAGTCTCCTCACCCTGAACCCCACCCTGACCCAGGGCACTAAGTCACCCAGAAAGCCCAACAGGTCCAGCCAGACACGCTTGGGGCCTTGGGTGGGCCTCCAGGGCTGGGGGGGGGGAGGGCTGTTACCTCCTGCTGGGCACCGGTGGCCAGGGGGCAGACGGTGAGGTCCACGCTGTGATCTCCAGTCACTGCGTTCTTGCGACAAGCTGTACTCCCCATCTCCACTGTCAGGTAGTACTTGATGCCAGCCACCAGCTGGGGAGGGGACGGGCCAGTCAGGGCTGCCCCGAGACAAGCCCCAACCCACGTCCTCCCATCCACCCAGGGCACAGCCCACCTCCCTGGGGAGTTGGTGGGGTGCATGGGCTCAGAAGATCCCCCAGGTCCCTGGCTGAAGTGCCAGCAGCCAGAAACCCAAAAGCACCAGGGACTCTGAGACCAAGTGCACACATGCCCTTCCTGAGCCCTGGGCAGGCTACAAACAGGCCCAATTGTTCCCATCCCCCATCCCCTCCATGTCCCTCGTCACCCCCATCTCCCTCGCCCCCTCCATGTGCCCAGTCCATTCCGGGGGAGGGGGGACTACAAACATGCCACAAGTGAGGGAACAAGAGTAGGTTAAATACTGGTTGAGTCCTGTATTTGAAATTTAGGTATTTTGTTCAAGAGTTTGGGGCATCTGTTTTTTAAAAATCGCCCTCCAGCGCCGAGTCCTCCGCTCCCCCGGGGGCCGCTCTAGCCCGCTCCGGCGGCTCGCGCCCCGGCCCCGCCGCCCTGCGCCCTCCGGCCCGGCGCACCTGACTCTGCGCTTTGAGGACGTGCGTGTCGCGGAAGTAGTAGAGGCTGTTGCTGCCCATGTTGTAGGTGGCCACGGCCGCCTGCGTCGCCTTCTGCACCTGCGGGTCGCTGGGCGACAGATCCTGGCGCTCCCCGACCCTGCGCTCCCCAGGCCGGGCGCGGGCGTCGCCGGGCAGCGACAGCAGGAAGAGAGCGGCCAGGGCCAGGCCCAGCGCCACCGCACGGCTGGTTCGCTCCATGCTCGCCTGCCGAGGCCGAGATCGGGCGGCTTTTACGCGCCACGCGGCCCCGCCCCGCCGCCCACCTGCCGCCTCGGCCGCGAGGCGGCGCCCCGAGGGCCTGGTGCAGGGCGGGGGACGGAGGGCGGCCGACGGGCCTGCGGGGCCTATTGTGCGAGGTGAGGGAGAGGACAGTGACAGCCCCTAGGACAGGGGAGGTTCCCAGGATGACCCAGGGGGCCACCAACAGCTGTGGTTACTGCGCCACCAGCTGTATGACCTAGGACACTAGCTGTGTGACCTAGGGCAAGTTACTTAACCTCTCGCTGCCTTAGCTTCCTCATCTCTGTAATGGGTTGTTGTGAGGATTTGATGAACTAATATATATATAAAGTGCCTTTAGAAGAGTCCTGGTTCCGGGTGAGTGGCATGTTATTGTTGTTATGTGCCATCGAGTCGGACCTGACTCACAGCGACCCCTCCTTGGGTTGCCTAGGCTGTATCACTACGGAAGTAGATTGCCCAACCTTCCTTCCGAGGAGTGGCTGGTGGGTTTGAACCGCCAGCCTTCTGGTTAGCAGTCAATGCCTTAGGCACTATGCTACCAGGTAAATGGAAGCCATTACTACACTGACCCAACCCACTGCTACAGAGTCAATTCATACTCACAGCGTCCCCACAGGACAGAGTGGAACTGCCCCACAGGGTCTCCAAGGCTGTCAGTCTTTTTTTTTTTTTTCCAAAATTCTTTTTTTTTTTTTTAATTGTGCTTTAGGTGCAAATTTACAGAGCAGAATTTGTTTTACATTCAACATTTCGTGTACATTTGGTTTCACTCCCCAATCACCATTCCCAACCCTAACCCACTCTCTTCCCCAGTACCCACCCCCCCGCCCTCATAGTTCTGCACTCCTGTGTGTCCTACATTTCCTCCGTGTAAATGTTGCCCCTCTGGTGACCTGTGGTCGATTGCTCCAAGGGATGCATCTCCATAGAGTATGTGGCTGCATCACCTGGGTTGAGTGGTCTGTGTGTACATCTTGTTTACTATTGAGCTGAGAGCCAGCCCCTGGGAGTGAGCTTTATTCCAGGCCCAGAATGTATCCCAGGACCATAGTATTAGGGGTACCACCAAACTCCATCTGACCAGTAATTCTAGTCATTATTGTGTTTTTGGATTTTGTTTCACATTTTTCCTCCCATTTGATCTCCACAAAGGATCTCCACATTTGATCCTTTCCTGAGTGGTTGACATTGGTAGCCAGACACCATCTAGCTCTCTGGTCTCAAGGGCATTGTGTCCTAGGGCTGATTGCTTCCAAATGCCCTTGTTTTTTTGCACACTTCTTTGTTTCTGACAATAGAGGACCATTAGCTGCATCTTAGATGGCCGCTTGAAAGCTTTTAAGACCCCAGTCACTATTCACCAATGTAGGTTGTGGAACAAGATTTTTATGTATTTTGTTGTGCCAACTAAAGTCAGGTGTTCCCCATCACTATGGTTCTGAGTCAGTAGATCCGTTGGATCTCTCTCCCACAGTGTCTGTCTGTCTGTGAGGGATTGCTCTGTCTGTCTTCTGTTGTTTCTGTAAGGATTGCAGGTAATTTGTATCACCGGTATCTGTGCAAGATTAACCTCACCAAGGCTGTCAGTCTTCACAGAACCAAAGCCCAAACCAAACCCACTGCCATGATTCAATCCTGACTCACAGCGCCCCTAGAGGACAGAGTGGAACTGCCCCGTAGCGTTTCCAAGGCTGTCATCTTTACAAAAGCAAAGCCCAAAAACCAAACCCACTGCGGTGCAGTCCATTCCTACTCACAGCGCCCCTAGAGGACAGAGTGGAACTGCCACAAAGGGTTTTCAAGGATGCCAATCTGGTAGCATAGTGGCTAAGACACTTGCCTGCTAACCAGATGGCTGGCGGTTCAAACCC